TGAGGAGCGTTGGTTTCCAGGTGAGGGGTGGGGGTGGCTCAGAGGCGGGACAGGCCCGGCCGCGGCCACACGGGAGACAGCAGGGGGCCGTGCTGTGCCCGGACGGCTGGTCCAGCCTCTGGCCCAGACACCCCCGGGCAAAGCCAGGAGCCCCTTTCTGTGAAGCGTCCGGAGGGGCCCGTGCCTGCCGCAAGGTCTCGGGCGTGGCCGCCTGCTCTGTCCCCCAGGAATCTGCCTCTTCAGTGACCTGGGACTGCAGCCGGGACCAGCACGAGGGGCACAGGGGACGGGGCCGAGGGCTCTGCAGGCCCCGCGCGGCCCTGACTTGCCACCAACATACTTCACCAAGCAGCCCCGTGCAGAGCTCAGCCCGACTGCCCTGTGACCACAGCGGGCACAGCGGGGCAGCTCGGGGACACGGACGGACAGAGCGCCTCGGCCTCCGTGCCCACAGCCTCAGCACCTCACGTCACGCGTTGCCAAGCCGTGCGTGACTAGAACACCGGTCCACCAGAAGGGCCGAAGCGGGCGATGAGGGCCAGGACGACGCCGGCCCCCAAGACCAGCCCAGCCCGCTACCTCCCGTGTGTACGAAGACCTGCGTGGACTGGGGATGTGAAGCTCACGCCCAGCTGCACCCCGGGGCACACGTGCCCGCGAGACCGGACGGCGGACGGTTACGGCGCCTGACTCCCACAGAGCCGGCCGCGGGTCAAGTCCCGGACCGGTGGCTTACGACTCACGCCGGGCAAGTGTGCGTGCATGGCCACGACCCCGAGGAGGCCGGAGAAGGGACTGCGGTGTGGGTGTGCCCCGGGGATCACTTCTGTCTGCCTTTCTGTCTCTCTCTCTCTGGCAAGTGCACGCGCCCTCTAGCAAAAATCGCTTAGAAGAGAAACAGCGGAAACAGCAGAGGCAGCAGGGACGCGGGCCCACCCGGGCCGTCGAGGGTCGAGGGCGGACGTGGCTGCCCGGGGTGCCCAGCACAGGAGACGGGAGGGGTTCTTACCACCGCGGGCCAGAAGGGGTACTTGTGGTATTTCAGCCAGACCAGCATCCCCACTTCAAACGAGCGAGGCTCTAGGGTTAAAGACAGGGAAGACGTCAGGCGAGGGGGCATCCCCACACCTGCCTTCAGAGGGCCTCACCGGGATGGGGACACGCACCCCCTCTGGGCCCCCCGCCAGGAAGCAGGCCACGACACACGGACACGGTCCAAAGGCGTGCTGGCGCCTGGCACAGACCCGCCCCCACGCGCCCAAACAGCCGTGGGCAGAAGGCCCTGTGGACAGGGCATGTCCCCGCTGAGGCCCCTGCTGCCGGGAACAGGCCCTGGGAGACGACCAGCCCCGAGCGAGGGTTCAGGGGTTCAGAGGGCAACGCCACCGCCGCACATACCCCTGGGGGTGGACAGACACCGAGACATGGCAAGCGCAGGCACACAGGTGCTCACACGTGCAGGCCACACGCACGCACACCCCACAGTCCACATGTACACGCGTGCAGTCCACACACGTGCAGTCCACATGTACACACATGTACACGTGTGCAATCCACACACGCACACCCCACAGTCCACATGTACACGCGTG